CCAGTTCATAGAAGCCATCATTCCATCTTGGTTTCACATTAGAACAGCTGCGGAACTAAAAGACTTGGTTCACTCCATGGGAAGACATTGTAAGGCCGTCATTCATGCTAAAGGTTACCCAATTAAGTATTAACTGACATGGGGATCATTTTTGTATATCTCGTTTTTTCTAGGGTGAGAATTTTTGTATATTTCATTTTTTCTAGGTGTTTCACTTTTCTTCTTTATACTGTAACTGCTATTCTAAGAGCAAATCCTTCATAAAAGTTATTGCATTACATGCTTGATTCAATTATCTTTCCATTGATATATAATTTTATGGTGGTGTTATTAGCTAGTTTTAGAAAATACACATTTATTTATTTATTTGTTTGTTTGTTTGCTTGTTTATTTATTTAATTATTTAATTATTTAATTTTTATACCGCCCTTCTCCCGAAGAACTCAGGGTGGTGAACAGTTAAAATAACATACATATAAAATGTGAATATAAGATGATTAAGCCAATTTGGTTCATGGGTTAAGAATCTTCAGCATAAAGATTTCGAACAATTAGAAGAGATTTATGCCAGCCCGGCTTGGTGAAATAGAAAGGTCTTAAGGGCACGACGGAAAGTACGAAGATCTGGGATCATTTGTATCCCTGGAGGTAACCTGTTCCAAAGGGTAGGTTCCAAACTTTTCCCAAAAAGGTTCCCACAATTTTGGCCGCTGCTGTAGAATGTGTGATGTTTGCTGCTCCTAACACAGAAGCCATAAACTGAGAAAAGGAGGCAGTACAATTGTAATTAAACACACAAACACACCATATCCGTGTGGCTGCAATAGGCAGGCAATTCTGCATTGCACTTTGTAAGATCTGGAAAAGGGCAGGTCTCAATTAGCCAACCGCACTCATTAGCATAGAATGGAAACTCTACCTGTCCTTCCTGTAACAAGGATTAGCAGCGTTACTAAAAATACAGCTGAACAACGCGGAAGGTCACCCAGGAGAATTTTGGTTCCATGTTAAAGAGTCATGAGGAAAAGCTCCCTCGTGCCTCTGGTTGCTGAGCATGGAAAACAGAATATTAGAGTATTCTGAATAGGAAAACAAAGGAAGCTGGGAGAAGAGTCGGCAAGTAGAGGGATCCAATCAAGACAGAGGTGGGTTTCAGCAGGTTCTGACCAGTTCTGGAGAACCGGTAGCGGAAATTTTGAGTAGTTCGGAGAACCGGTAGTAAAAATTCTGACTGGCCCCGTCCCCATCTATTCTCTGCCTCCCGAGTCCCAGCTGATCGGGAGGGAATGGGGATTTTGCAGTAACTTCCCCCTGGAGTGGGGAAGGAATGGAGATTTTACAGTATCCTTCCCCTGGGGTGGGGAGGGAATGGAGATTTTACAGTATCCTTCCCCTGGAGTGGGGAGGGAATGGAGATTTTACAGTATCCTTCCCCTGCCACGCCCACCAAGCCACACCCACCAAGCCATGCCACGCCCTCCAAGCCACACCCACAGAACCGGTAGTAACAAATTTTGAAACCACCACTGAATCAAGATCAAGGGAGGTACTAATACCACTCTATAAAGCAGGAGTCAGCAACCTTAAACACTCAAAAGAGCCATTTGGACCTCTTTCCCACAGAAAAGAAAACACCGGGAGCCACAAAACCCTTCCCGTGCCTGACTATTTCTTGAGCGGCCACAAAACTAGCATATGGAGTTGAATTAAACATTCTGTTTTCTTCTGAAACTTTTCTTTTCTTGGATTTATCCATGGTTGGCCTACTGGGGATCGAAAAGCTCAATAAATCATGTGCCGGGGGGTGGGGGTGTGTGTCGCACATTGGCGGTTGTGATGCCTATTTTGAGCGACGGAGCCACTGAAGAGGGATGAAAGAGCCACATGCGGCTCCAGAGCCGCAGGTTGCTGACCCCTGCTATAAAGCCTTAGTAAGATCACATCTAGAATATTGTATTCAGTTGAGACTCTAGAAAGAGTGCAGAGAAGAGCAACCAGGATGATTAGGGCAGGGGTGAAATGCTCCCGGTTTGGACCGGATCGCCTGATCCGGTAGCGATGGAGGCGGGTGGTTCGGAAAACCGGTAGCAAAAATCCCTGCTCACCCCCATTGCCCAGCTGAGCCACGCAATCATCAGAGGCTTTTTAAAAATTATTTTTAAAAGTATTTTTTTCTAAAACCTCTTTGGCTGAAAAAATGCTTTTAAAAGTAAAAAAAAAAAAAAGCCTCTGATGATCCCGCAGCTCAGCTGGGATCGTCAGAGGCTTCAAAAAAAAAAAAGAAAGAAAGAATGAAAGCCTCTGCTGATCAGGCAACTCAGCTGGGATCATCAGAGGCTTTTAAAAGCATTTTTAAATGCCGAAGAGGTTGTAGAAAAAATGGTTTTAAAAGTAAAAAAAAAAAAAAAAGTTGGCCACGCTCACTCAGTCATATTACCCCCCACACACACCAAGCCACGCCCACAGAACCAGTAGTAACAAATTTTACATTTCACCACTGGATTAGGGGACTGGAGGCTAAAAAGATAACGATGAACGGTTGCCGGAACCATCCAGGTCTTGGTTGTCCCAAAGGTGCTTTTTTTCAAGAGATAAACTGGACTTTCTGGTTTTTCTTTGAAGACGTTTCGCTTCGCATCGAAGAAGCTTCTTCAGCTCTCACAGTTAAATTATCCCAGGTGTTTGCAAGAGGTGGAAAAAATTTTTTATTTATTTATTTATTTATTTTTCAGATTTCTATACCACGCTTCTCCTTTCGGACTCAGCCAAGATAAAAACATTTATACACAAAATTAAAAATATTTAAAATAATTAAATAAATTTGGCCCATAATTCAAAACCATTTCAATTAAAATCCATATCAATTTTAAAACAAACCATAAAATCAATACAGCCAGGCTAACTGAAAAAAAATAGGTTTTTAGGGCCCGACAAAAAGTCCGGAGGTCGGAGATCACTCGTATCTCTGGGGTAGATTGTTCCAGAGGGTAGGTTGCCACCACAGAGAAGGCTCTCCCCCTGGGACATTGCCGACATTGTCTGGCCTACGGCACCTTGAGAAGGTCCTCTCTGTGGGAGCGAACTGGCCGGTGGGAGGCAATTGGTGGCAGAAGATGGTCCCGTAAGTACCCCGGCCCTATTAAGTCAAGATCATGGCACAATGAGGCAATTGGAGTTCCACCCGTTTTTAATTTCTTTTTTAATGTCCTTCAAGGACCTTCTGTGGTTCAGGAAGGACTGGATCTTGGATATACATCCTGACTTCTAATGATCTTCTAGCAGTGTTTCTCAGCCTCAGGAACGAAGATTTGTGGACTTCAACTCCCAGAATTCCCCAGCCAGCTGGGAAAGAAGGCTGGGGAATTCTGGGAATTGAAATCCACCCATCTCAAAGTTACTGAGAAACCTTCATTGAAAGCCTTCATTCTAAGCAGGAACTCTCCAAAGAACTAGGAAAGGTAACACTTAAAAATTTACCTTGAAATATATGATTTATATAGGGTGTCTAAAGCACCCTGTTATTAAGACAAGCTGCCTGCAATTACTGCAGGTTCGAATCTCGCCAGGCTCAAGGTTGACTCAGCCTTCCATCCTTTCTAAGGTAGGCAAATTGAGGGCCAGTTTGTGGGGGCAATAAGCTGACTTTGTATAAATATACAAAAGGATGAAGCTATTGCTTAGCACATTGTAAGCCGCCCTGAGTCTCCAGAGAAGGGCGGCATATAAATCAATTTTTTTTAACAAAATGATCCACTTAATACCATGTTTCCCAGAAAATAAGCCCTCCCCAGAAAATAAGACCTCCCCAAAAATATTCAAACATATGCGCAGCCTGTCTCCGCCATTTCCTCTGGTTAGGGTTAGGAGACAGAGCTGGAAATCAGGTAAGATGACAAGAGGAGCCCCGTCTTGCTCCATGCACCCCGAAATAATAAGACCTCCCCGAAAATAAGGCCAAGCGCTTATTTCGGGGTTCAAAAAAAATCATAAAACAGGGTCTTATTTTCGGGGAAACACGGTAATCATCCTATCTGTAGGGATGGTTAGCTGGGTCAGAATTAGCCTTTCGTTTTAACCTTCGTGGACCACAGGTAGTCCTTGACTTACAACAGTTCATTTAGTGAGAACCGGCACTGAAAAAAGGATCTTAGAATCATTTTTCATACTTAACCACCATGGCAGCATCGCTATGACCACGTGATCAAAATTCAGATGTTTCGCAACTGACTCACATTTATGACAGTTGCAGTGTCCTGGGGTCATTTTTGCGACTTTCTGATGAGCAAAGTCAATGGGTAAACCAGATTAATTTAACAACTGGGTTACTAACAGCAATTTACTTAACAAATATGGCATGAAATGTCATAAAATGGGGCAAAACTCATGGTCGTAAGTCGAGGACAACCTGTATGTTGTAGAAATCTCTTGATGAGGAAAAAGTAGGAGATGGATGAAGCTGAACCCCCATTTCAGAGGTGGTTATGTGCTTGCTTTAAATCATAATCTTGAAGTCTGGCTTCAATTCCTTCCCCCTTAAATATTTCTCAAGGTTGACTCAGCCTTCCATCCTTCCGAGGTAGGTAAAATGAGGACCTGGATTGTGGGAGCAATAAGCTGACTTTGTATAAAAAAGAACACCGCTTAGCAGGGCTCAAAAGCCCTACTAAGCAGGTATATACAAAAGTATGAAGGCTATTGCTTAACACATTGTAAGCCGCCCTGAGTCTCCGGAGAAGGGCGGCATATAAATCGAACTAATAAATAAATAATAATTTCTCAATTTGAGATTCATTTGCTTTCCTCTTACCAAGGTTTTCAGCCCGTCGTGTATCTGCCATCGCAGATTTCTTCCTGTAAAGGATATTTGGGGTGTTGTTTCACTAGAACTCAAGCCTATCATCTGCTTTGCACAGGTTGTGGATGTCCTAGACAAGCCCAGACAGAAACGCATGGCTCGAAATTAAATTCTTCATCCAAGACCAATTGTAGCTGTTCCTTACCTCCTTCGGTAAAGCTGTTTCCTTTGAGAACGTCCTTCCCGTGACAGAAAATGTATTCCAAAGTAACTCCATGCTTCCTTTGCTGTCTTCTCTCCCTCCTGCAGTTGAGACGTTGCGGTGGGACATCAGCAACGGGTGTGTGCTTGGGCTCAAGGTGATTTATCCACCGGTAAAATACGACAGCCACCTCCAACGTTGTCTATGGAGCAAGATCGGAGATAGGGAAAACCCAAACACACTCCCTGCTTATAATTTCCTGCAACCTCTTTGATAATCCAAAAAAAAAAACACCTTCGTCACAGAGAAATAGGAAGGAGAGGCACATCCCAACCGAAACTGTTGGCAATCGTACAAACGGGAGGGACATTTAAAAGGGGCATTCCCCAGCCCACGATATGCTCAATGGAGAAAACGCCATGTGCAGGTGTGATGGAAACGTCATGGAAATGCATCCTGTGTATAAAAAAAGTGGGGGCTTTGATGGCTCTGGTGTGGCTCTGGTGGTGGCTCTGGCCACCATCTTGGATATTCCGACTCTTCCCTCACTCATATTATCAGGAAAAAATAGAAAGAAGGAGTGCTGGCAGTGGTGAAATCTAAAATTTGTTACTACCGGTTCTGTGGGCGTGGCTTGGTGGGGAGGGGTAATGTGACTGGGTGGGCGTGGCCAACTTTTTAAAAAAAACTTTTAAAAGCATTTTTTTTACAACCTCCTCGGCCGAAGAGGTTGTAAAAAAATGCTTTAAAAAGCCTCTGATGATCCCAGCTGAGCCGTGCGATCATCAGAGCCTTTTTTTTTTTACTTTTAAAAGCATTTTTTCGGCCGAAGAGGTTGTAGAAAAAATGCTTTTAAAAATAATAAAAAAACCAGCCTCTGATGATCGCGCGGCTCAGCTGGGCATGGGGGGGGCAGGGATTTTTGCTACCGGTTCTCCGAACCATCTGCCTGCATCGCTACTGGATTGGGCGATCCGGTCCGAACCGGGAGCATTTCACCCCGAGTGCTGGGTATAATGGTTGGAGTTCCTGTGTGAACCAAGGTGTCTGTTTTTATCTTGGTTGGTTTTTCTTTTTTTTTTAATTTGATTTATATGCCGCCCTTCTCCGGAGACTCAGGGCGGCTTACAATGCGCTAAGCAACAGCCTTCATACTTTTGTATATTTATACAAAGTCAGCTTATTGCCCCCACAAACTGGGTCCTCATTTCACCTACCTTAGAAAGGATGGAAGGCTGAGTCGACCTTGAGCCTGGCGAGATTCGATCTTACTTTAATTGCAGACATCTGGTGTTAAATTACAGAGCTCTGTCTGTTGAGCTATCCAGGCTCAACAGGTTATGTGTTTGTGTGGGTTTTCAACACCACCATTCTTCAATGACCGTGGCTTAGTGGATGCTGCTTAATAGTATTGAAGGTATCATTGCAGGATGTAAATTGTTCCAAATCAAGCTACCTTTTGCACTTATGACCGATTGCAGCATCCCCTGTGGGCTAACTTGATCAAAATTCAGACGCTTGGCAACTGACTCGTATTTTTGACGGTTGCCGTGTCCCGGGGTCATGTCATCCCCTTTTGCAACCTTCTGACAAAGTACAGTCAATGGGGGAGCCAGATTCACTTTTGTTCTGGTCCGCCAGCAACCTGCAGAGCTGGCAGCGGAGTCGGACAGCGATGAGGCTGAGGAAGAACATGGGCCAGTCCTGGAGGCTGGGAAAGGCCCAGATGAGGGCTCTGCGTCGGAGGCAGAGATGGGGCCAGTGATGCGTGGACTTCGGAGCCTCTAGAGGCTGACAGCAGAGAGGCAGAGGAACAGGAGGAGCCTGTTCCTAGTGCACGCATGAGAAGAGCTGCCAGAAGGCAAGAGCAGCCAAAGCAGAGAGGACGACTCAGGAGTAAGGCCTGAAGATGATTGGCCCCTCCCATAAGGCTTAAAAGACCAGCAGCGGCTCTTGGCCTCTTTGCCAGAAAACAACCGTTGAGAGATTTGCTTTGTGTTTGGATGTATTTCTTTCTTGTCAGCATCTTCTGTTCCTGAACTGTTGCCAAGAAAAGCCTTTGGCAGTTTGCCTAATTATCCCAAAGTCAGAGATAAACTGAAGAATGGTGTTTTGAGAACTTTGCTTTCATTTAATTTGGACTATGCTGAGAATGAGTTAATTCTCAGCTGTTTTAATAAAATCTGTTTTTTGGAACTGTTTTGTATTTAATACTTACTACGTGGGCCTGGGTTACAATAACTTTGCAACCGTGTCACTAACTTAACAACTGCAGTGATTGTCTTAACAACTGTGGCAAGTAGGTCGTAAAATGGGGCAAATTTCACTTAAAAACTGTCTCGTTTAGCAAGAGAAATTTTGGGCTCAATCGTGGATGTGACTCAAGGGCTACCTGTATTTGTAGCCAACCTACCACCATTTTACCACATGCCCAAAACATGTGATATATTTCTTTTCCTTCTTATGTATAGTGTGATTTTGATTGCTTATTTACCGTGTTTCCCCGAAAATAAGACAGGGTGTTATATTAATTTTTCCTCCAAAAGACGCATTACAGCTTATTTTCTGGTTAAGTCTTATTTTGGGAGAAATACGGTACTAAGTGCACCCATCTGGCTGACAATCTTAACTGGGGTTTATTTTGGGAGTAGGGCTTATATTACAAGCATCCTGAAAAATCATGCTAGGACTTATTTTCTGGCTGGGTCCTATTTTCGGGGAAACAGGGTAGTATGCTATGACTATCACTAAATGTTATATCTTATGATTCTTGATGAATGTATTTTTTATGTACACTGAGAGCTTACACACCAAAGACAAATTCCTTGTGTGTTCAATCACACTTGGCCAATAAAGAATTCTAATTCTTCTACCTGGCTCCTTAAAAAGACAGCTGCACGTTTTGCCCAAATTGTACTAACTATGTGATAAAACCATGGAAAGATCTCTTTTTTTTTTCAAAGAAACTTTATTAAGTTTAAAAACATAAATATATTAACATTTCCATTAATATCAGATGTGTAGTGGTTTTAACTATATACAAAGTATATTTCTGGTGTCATTTAAATTACTTTTTACTTTTATTTAACACACCTTTTTCTCTTCCTTTCATTTTATCATTCATCCATTCATACCACCTTCCCCACACGGTATAGTATTCTGAATTCTCATCATCGTTTATTTCATGGGTTAGTTTGGTCATCTCTGCGCACTCCAGTATTTTCCTAGTTATAAGCTCTTCTGGTGGCTGGGTTTTCTCTTTCCAATATTGTGCGTAAGCCAATCTGGCAGCTGTAATTATGTGTATCATTAAATGAATCCTTTCCTTTCCATATGGCAACTTTACTATTCCCAGGAGAAATATTTCCGGTGTTAATTCAATATCTTCCCCAATTATTTTTTGTAACCATCTCCTGATCTTACTCCAATATCCTTTCGCTTCCGGGCACGTCCACCACATGTGAAAGAAGGTGCCTTGACCATGGCCACATTTCCAACAATTGGGGTGTATATTGGGATATATTTTTGCTAGCCTAGCCAGGGCTAAATACTATCTGTGGAGCATTTTACCATGGAAAGATCTCTTACATAACTGAGCACGTAGCTGCCAAGGAAGAAAGGAAGCATGGGGAAAACTCACTTGCCAGCACATGGAACGTATCTCTCAATGCCTTTCAGGATGAGTCAATGACAAGATATTTTTTCCCCACTGCTGACTTTATTCACCTTTTGCGATTTCATGTGTCATGTGGTCATTTCTGAAGCACATGGGCTTTTGCTCATCAATGGACCCTATTGGAGATGATTTGAGTGGGAAGCTGTCCTGAATAAATTGCTGTCAAGCAGGCCCTAAATTTGCATCTGAAGTAAGACAGGATGAAGACTTCAGATCCTTAAACTCACGTCCTTCATTCTCACCAGGAGCTGAGTTATAGGTAGCTCTTGACTTACAATGTAGGAAGTTAGCACCCACCCTTCTCCTAGAAGAATGAAATATTAAAAAGGCAGAATATTATACCTCCCTGGATGAGAAAGGGAGAAACATGTCTTTTAGGCAGGAAGCAGACTCACTCTTAATAGCCCCTACATTCTCAATAGCCCACAGCAGATGTCAGCACTTAAGAGATAAAGAGATGGCTAGGTCTATTCATAAGCAAATGCCTTCACCAAACATCCAACAAAGGTAGGATTAGCCCTCTACCCATCTAGCAACAGAATTCACCATATGGCACCTGGGGAGATTGTATCACCCAGCAAGAGTCAACCAAGCTTGGGACTCAAAAGACAACCTACAAAGTTACCCCTGCATGGCCCCATGGGAGTCTGACAACCAATCAGAAGACAAGCTCAAATTCAAAGCCCAACAGAGGGTATAACTCTCTCTCTCTCTCTCTCTCACCCATGTGCTTTTTCACCCAGGACCTCAAAACCATGTGATCCTGTCCACCATTAAACCATCTTTTCAAGCAGTCCCCATGTTTCCAGTGTCTTTCTCCCCACTTGGAACTGAACCCAGATGGACATTTCTTCCAACACAACTGAGCTCAAAATTTGTTGCTAAATGAGACCGAGATTGTGAATTTGGGGTTTTCATGAGCATAATCATGAAGCCATAATCATCAAAATTATGACAAATCAAGGCTTGAACTATCTTGCTTTACATGTAATGAGTCTATCTCATTCACCTTTTAAGTTGCATTACTGAAATAAATGAACTTTTGCACGACATTCTAATTTTTCGAGTTTCACCTATATATTACTATTAAATCAAAAATAAAATCCCATTATGGTTAGTCTATGTGTAAACTGGCTAAATGTGCATACTAGGTGTTAAGTGTGCTATTGTGGTGGAATCTGGAGCTAAAGTGAAGGGAGGAGTTAAAAGACTGAGTAGGTTGGAATAGCCCAGAGGAACAGCAGAAAGCAGGCCTCCCAAAACCTTGGAAATGCTTATCCAGTTCTGCAATGAGTGCAATTTGTCTGGTGAGAGTAGCAATAAACATACCATGCTGATACGTTATCTGTGTTTCTGGTTCCTTGCACCTACCAGTAATAGCTAGAGTAACAGAGTTGGAAGGGACCTTGGAGGTCTTCTAGTCCAACCTCCTGCTCAAGCAGGAGACACCATATACTATTTTGGACAAGAGGCTGCCCAGTCTCTTAAAAACCTCCCCTGATGAAAACACCCAACTTCTGGAGGCAAGCTGTTCCGCTGATTGTTCTGTCAAGAAATTTCTCCTAAACTTTAGGTTGGATCTCACCTTGATTAGTTTTCATCCATTA